GCCCTGGCTGACAGGGAACTCGGCATAGATCAGTCTGGGCCTTGAACTTATAGAGATCCTCCTGTCTCTGCCTTCCAAACATAGACACCAAAACAAGAGGTTCTCACACTGAGACCTGACAGTCCTAACCCTCCTGTTGCCCAGACCTCTGGAGATGGAGGCCATTAGGTCCCTGAGTGAAGTAAACTGTAAACGCCACGAAAGAAGTTAAAAAACACCGGGTAGAATGACTCCAGGTTTAAGCGCTTGCCACCAGACTGAGGTTCAATCAAGTTCAACCAATCTTACAAACCGACAGGGTGGGAGGAGGGCACGGAGTCCTGTCCTCTGACCTCCACATGCAAGCCGTGATGCTCACACATGCAAGTTTGTAAAGTTTGCAGCACAGACATGGGGACCTAAAGCCAATCCCCAGAGCCCACAGGAATAAAAAGCAAAGGCTGAAGAGTCGGTGCGATGGCTCAGGAATGCTGCTCGCCACCAGAGCCGACGGCCCGAGTCCCATCCCCGGGACCCACACGGTGGAAGGAGAGAACCAAGTCCTGAAGTCGTCCTCTGAACGGTACACAACCACCTTAGTGCACATGTGGGTGACATACACAGCAGTGAGTAAAGCTGGGGTGGTGGCGCTCGGGGAGACAGACCCAGGCAAATCCCTGGGGCTCTCTGGATACTCGGCCAGCTCTCGGCCAATGAGGGATCCTGTCTCAAAACTCAAGGTGGAGGCTGGAGAAATGGCTCAGTGCCTAAGAGCTCACAGGAGACCCAAGTTTGCTTCCCAGCACCCATGGCAGGTGGGTCCCAACCATCTGCCCCTCCAGTTCCAGATCAGTCACCTCTGTCTTCCACATGCCCACACTCACACACATTTAAAAATAAATTTGAACAAAACCAGGGTGAAAAACAACAGAAGGCAGACAGCTCCTCAGAAACAAAATACCCAAGGCTAACCCCTGGCCTATTCTCTGTGTGTCTCTCTCTATGTCTGTCTGTCTCTATCTTTGTCTCTCTCTCTCTCTCTCTCATACACACACACACAGATACACCCGGGGAAGACAGACATACAGATACACCCTGACAGACAGAAAGACGCATGCACATACACACACACACAGATATACCCGGACAGACAGGCAGACACACACACACACACACACACACACACACACACACACACCCAGACACAGACAAAGTTAAGAGAACTGTACATCAGGAGCTGGCTCTAACTCTCCCTGGAGCCTTAAGGTGAGCCCTGACCCCAGCCCCTTCTTCTGCTCCCATGCCCTCAGTTCCCTACAAGACAAAACTACAGGGCTTAGCAGATAAACCCTAGGATCTTCAGTTTGGGGTGCTCTATAAATGAACAGTAGTTCTCAGCAGAACTGCGTCATCCCTTACTTATCTGCAGTCCAAATTTATCCAGGCGTCCTTATTTTTATTAGCTAAATCTGGACCTCAGCAGCAGGTGGTCCTAAAGGAGGGAGACAGGTGGACCTGCAAATAGCTGCAGGTCAACCAGGCTCCGCTCAGGGTCAGGAAGAAAGGTGTTTGTTATGAGAATCCTACAGCCCTTGTCCTGAACACTCCATGAGTCATCCCACACCCACAGGGGGGTAAAGTCCATCCACAGAAGAAAACCTAAAGGCACCTCCGATGAGCCAGCACTCTGACTCCCATAACCGTCACCTGGGGTACTGTGTCTGAAACCAGGTCAGCACCCAATCGCAGACTGTATCAGCTCAGTCCTTATAGAGGGACAACCCAAGCTAGGTGCAGACGCAGGGGCAAAGGTTCCTCTTGAGTCATTGGGCATGGCAGGAGCTGAGCTGCACGAGGAACCCGGGCCCCCAGCTTCCCATGCTGCTCCTGTCCACCCTCGGTAGCTGCTGCTAGGAAGCGTAATGTAAAATCTGTCCCAGGCGATCCTGTGACCGACTGATTCAGACCGGCTCCTTTCCGTTTCTCCCTGAACTGCTCTCTTCTGAAAAACTGTCTCTGAATTCCGCACTCAGCTGCACTAAACTGTACTATTCTCCCAAACTCCAACCGTCCTATCTCCACCAACTCCCTTGCTCTTTCTGCACTGCTCTTAAATGCGTTCCCTTTCCTGTCTGCTCTCATGAGAGTTGAGTGTATCAGCTCTCTGACTCCTTCTGTCAGATCTTTCTCTGATTCGTCACTTTGTCTGTCCCTCAGTTAGATGTTATTGTTTGGGATGAAAGGTGTGTACCCAATTCCAGCCAGAGGGGTTAAAGCTGTGTACTAAGGGTATGTCTGTATTCCAGCCAGATCACATAGACCTAAGTCTTTGGATTTTATCCCTTGTCAGAGGAGCCATGTTGCTGGATTACAATTCCTCTACACTTACCTTCCCTCTAAGGCTCTGTTGGGATTCCTCTACTCTCTGAATGGTACATGTCTCCATCTCTCTTTATTTGGGAGTGCCTTTATGCAATCTGAACTCAGGCCAAGCACCTGCCTGCAATCCTAGTACTTGGGAGGGCTGAGGCAGGAGGATCATGAGTTCAAGAACAACCTGGGTCACATAGCAAGACCCTACTTAATAAAATAAAAAACACCACAGTGTGAGGTCTGAGCCCTCAGCCAGGATCCTGCTCTGTTTTCTGGAGCTTCTGAATTAACCCCCACAAGTCTTGCTTTTCAAGTGTCTGTCAAGGTTTCTGCAGGCCCCAGGCAGCTGGCTTTCGTCATTGGCCGCTTGCCACACACATACTAAAGCGTCTGAACAGAGGGGTGCAGGGAGAATCACACTGAGGAATGTGTACGGTACTAGGCTTATGGTTAGGGGGATAAATAGGTTGGTGTAACTGACAGGTGTCCTTTAAGAACCGGGAATGAAAGATGTAATCCCAGCATTTGGGAGACTGAGGCAGGAGGATTACCCTGAGTTGCAGGTCAATCTGAACTATAGAATAAGTACCTAGTTTAGCCTAGGGTATGTCTCGGCCTACAGACACACATAGACATAGACATACACACACACAAAATTAAGAGGATTCTATTCATTCATTCACTCATTCATTCCAACATGCAGTCACTCAGCAAGTGAGCAGCAAGCTCCATCCCTATTTATACCTAGTGCAGTCAAAGGGACACACTCAAACAGCCAAGTGAGATAAGGAGAGGAGAAAGCCAGGACAGTCTGGAAACACAGATGTGACAGGCTCTGGGACAAGGCATAACTAGCCAGGTCTTGAAGTTTGAAAGAAAAGAGGAAAATTCTACACACGCTCACACGTTCCCTCCCTTAGCCAGTGGACAGGAGACCATGAGTGCTGCCAGGGCGTCGCAGATGGGCCAAAGTGAGAAAAAAAATTCAGGGTCCAGGCCAGGAGAGGTTGTCTGCAGTCCCGAGGTCACGCTCAAGACATGATGAATACCCTGAACCTTCCCACCAGGGAAGCTCAACTGGGGTCTCCAAAAACCCAGCTATTACCCAAGAGCGCACGCCCCGATCTCTGCACATGCAGCAATTGAGCAGCTGCCTCCGAGACCTCTATTATTATGTCTGCTTTTCGGACTATTTCCAAGTACCAGGCCCTAGACTGCCTCGTGTCAGAGGCTGGCTTAGGCTCCTGGGAGCCTGCCTTAAATTATAACAAAAGTGGCACTAGCATACTGGAAATAAATGACCCCTCTCCCCTGATCTAGACAACAAAGCACTTAAATAAATTAGGCATGCCCCCCCCCCAAATGCTGTCCCCAAGCCCAAACTCTCAGGTCCAACGACCAGACAAGCAGCGCTGCAGAGATCCAATCATTCCTTGTTTGCCTGGCTGGGATCCACTGGGACCCTTGGCGTTGGAACTGGCAATTTCTAGGTCATCCTCAGAGCTGGCTATGGAATGAGATGCAGTACAGCCTTCCACAACCCAGAAGCTGGCTAGTGGGTTCTGACACCCCCCCTCCCCTCCATGCTAGGCCTGTTTCTAGCTGGTAGAACCTCTGAAAAGGCCAAATTCAAGCTCAAACACTCTTGGATCCCTAAACAGGTGACTTAGGATGGAGAGACAGCGGACCACACTGGGCACCCCATGCTGATGCCCCACTGCCCAGCCCCTCCCGGCCGCTACTGCCAGCCTCCTACCACTTCCTCTTACTCCAAATAGAATAAATAATCGATGCCGGTGCCCTTTCCCTCTGGGAATGACGCTGCTAAAATAAATGAACGGATCAAGGCACCTCCCAAGGCCAGAGACTTGAGGGCCACAGCAGAGCAACACGGAAGGGCTGACCACCCAAGGCCCAGGAGGCGCTCTGCACTCTGAGCCGTGGGAGAAGCCCCCCCTATCAATCCCCACTCCTCTAAAAAGCTGCGGAAGCCCAGCCATCACACCCCACATTCCAGATACACGCTCTCGTCGCTGAGCCCAGAGCCGAGTTCTTTCACTCCACCAGGATGGGGACGCAGGAACTAGCGCCTCTCGTCTACTCCCGGGAAACCGGGTGGCCAGACCAGATGCCGGGCCGGAGCTCCGCTAGCCTCCTGACAGGGCAGCCGAACTCGGAGCGCCACGGTCCCCCGGCCTCCCCGGGGCCTAGGCCAGGGAAAGGTCGCCCTCCGGGCCCCTGCCCGGCTGCAAAGCTGGCTGTCACACCGGCCACGAGATCGCTCCTGGAGACTCCGGATAGACTCGAGGAGCCCTTCGGCCCCTCCCCCTCCTCTTCAAGAACTCAGAGACCACCCACAGCCGAGGCTCCCCCAACTTGTTCCTCGGCACCCTCTGCGCCCCTCTTAACTGCCACCCTGCCTCTTCACCCTCACCCCCAACAAACCGAAGAGGTCTGGCTCCCACCCCGTAAGCCGGCTCCTTTACAGGCTGACCCCCCCCTCCCCAAAAAAAAGAAACCACCGCTCTGGGGCAGAGTGCGGACGCGGCTCGAGCGTTAGCAGACAGCAGAGGGAAACGGGGGCAGGAGGACACCTTCTTTCCGACGCCCCCTCCACCAGCCTCCCACGGCAGGGCAGCACCACTGACCTCATTCGCCCAACTGTATCCAGGCCTGCTGGGCTCCAGGCCAGTGGGACGCCTCTCTCTCTACCTCCAGGGAACGCGAGGGTGAGAGGGGTGGCAGCTCTCCCCGATTCCAGCAGGTATCCGGAGGGGAGAAGCTGACCATCCCAACCCATCCCCCTCCAAACTCGAATTATAATCCCGATCACGTGCACACACACCCCAAAAGGCGGGCCTTAGAATTGAGACACCTGGAGGGGGAGGGGAGGGGAAGGGACCTCGCATGCACACAACACACTGAAGGGGGGGTGTACAAATAAGGGCTCAAGGCCACGGCACGCTCCAGAGCACCCCCTCTCCATCATCCCCCACCCCATCCCCCACTCCCACCCCACCCCCAGCCAAACTTTCTCCTTTTTTACCTTGCAGGATCCCCAAGCGCTCCGGGCGCCCCGGCCCCGGCCCGGCGGCCAGGACTCGGTGGATCCAGTCGCCTCTGGTTGCTGAGTTAATAATCCGGGAACGGGGAACAGGATCAGTGGAGGGAGGGAGGGAAGGAGGGCGGACGCGGTGCGGGCGGCCGGCCGGGGGCTGCGCGGGGCCCCCACCCCCGGCGCGGGCTGCGGCGGAGGGCGGGGCGCGGAGCGAGCGCGAAGCCGAGCCCGGGCTCTGGGAGGTTCTCTCTTTGTTCTGTAATCCCAGTAAGATTGCCAGCCATTCGCCCCGGCCCTAATCCCAGCCCCGCGCAACACCACCCTCCATTGGCTGTCATTTACATACGGGATTAGCCCGCACGGCCCGCCCCGTGCCACCGTGGGGAAGGACTCAGAACCTCGGGGCCTGGAGACTACACCAGCGGCGGATTAGAACACCGTCCTCCGGGAGATCGGGGCACATCAAGGTCACCCAGAGGACGCCTGGAGGATTCCTGGGTGGCTTGCCCTGCTGGTCACTCTTACCCCGGGACGTCCAAGGTCGGAAGGGAGGAACCCCAGGTTTCCATCTTGGACGGCCCGACCCAGGCCTTTTTATTTATTTATTTTTATCCGGGGATTTCATAAAGCACACGCTGTGGTCAGACTGGTCAGGGTCCCGAAGGCTTGGGAACTGAAACTGAGGATAGCCCTGAACACCCGATCCTCCTGGCTCCACCTCATAAGTGTTGGGATTACAGCCTTGTACCTACACCCGGGAAGACTCGAACGCAGAGCTTCCCGCATGCAAGGCAACCACTTTACCAGCACAGCTGCGTCCTAAAGCCCTTTTTGTTGTCGTTTTAGGACAGTGTCACATACCACACACTGGCCTCAAACTCTAGGTAGCTGAGAGTGACCTTGAACTCCTGACCCTCCTGCTTCTACTCCCCAAATACTGGGATTACTGTGAGAGCCACCACACAAAGTTTTGGGACCCAGCTTTTATTTCACCCTTCATCCGACTTCCTGTATGCCCCTAAATGGAGGGGACACCCCCCCCCAACCTCCTCAAAGCCACTTGTCCCAAATCAGCCCAGCAGTTGCCAACCAGGTGGTCCCGAGTCCCCCGGGGAAGGTCCTGCCCCAGGGTTAGTAAGTCAGAGGTAAACAGAGGCAGGACGTGTGTGTTAATGTCAGACTGAGCACCAGTGAAAATTCCAGGCCAGTCTGGGCTTAGAGAATCCCTGTTTTTAAAATAAAACTTTTTTTTTTTTTAAAGGGGTAGGCTTCGTTGCTCTCATCTATAGTCCCAGGGCCTAGGAGTCTAAATCAGGAGGATTGCTGGGAGTTTGAGAGTTTGAACCCTACCTGGACTTATGAGAGCCTGTCTCAAAAAGTCAAGACATAGCCCCGGTGTGGTGGCACACGCCTGTAATCCCAGCACTCAGGAAGCAAAGGCAGGTGGGTCTCTGTGAGCTTGAAGCCAGCCTGGTCTACAAAGCAAGTCCAGGACAGCCAAGGCTACACAGAGAAACCCTGTCTCAAAAACAACCAAAAAAAAGAAAAAAGTCAAAACACTCTGGCGCACAGTGATTAGGGATATAAGCAGGTGAGTTTGTAAGCAGAATGACTGCCTGGCATGCTTGAAGCCCTAGGTCTGGCCTTCAGCACCGCATAAAACCAGATGATCTAGCACAGTAACCAACAAGGAGGACTGGAGTTCAGGGTCATCCTAAGCAACACAGTGAGTCTGAGCCAGCCTGGGCTACCTGACAGACTCTATCTACAAGATCCTGCCATGAGGTGGGGTCACACACAGGAGCATCTCTGAGTTTGAGGCTAGCCCGGTCTACAAATGCGTTCCAGGACAGCCAGGGTCTAACACAGCCTACCTGGTCTCCTTCCAGACCTCCTCATACATACATATTAAGCCCAGACCTTAGTGACCTTGAATCTCTGGGGACGGGCTCCCAAGCCTCTCTCTCAGGGAGCTCCTCCTCTCAGCAGGTCAAGGAGGAGCCAGAGAGGCCCTGTGCCCAAAGGGCTTTGGGTAGAGCACAAGGCCATAGGTGATGGCCCCCCTGGAGACATAAAGATGCCTGGAAGCCATCTAAATGGTCCCTCTGACCCATTTGCATGCTGCCTGCCCCCGTGTGACACCAAGGCCAGTGCACAATGGTTCAGCAGCTGAATGTGTTAGTTCAAATCCTGGCTCTTCCACTTTCTACCCAAGTGACCTGGGGCTTGCCTTGGCAGTTCCCCTGTCTGAGTTTCCACTTCCCCTTCCCACAGCCTCTCAGCCAACCACGGCCTGACTCCCACAGTATGCAGAGCTGAGAACAGCCATCGCTTGTTATGTGTCTGCTAGATGCAAGCCATGTTACTCGTAAGATGGCTCTGCCTTGTCGGGTATGGGGACATGCCTGCTCTTCCAGCTTCTCACGGACTGAGGCAGGGAGATTGCAAAGTCGTGGTCTGGCAGCGTGGCTCAGTGGGTGAAGGCTTCTGCCACCAAGGCCAGTGACGTAGGTTGGACCCCCAGCACCCACATGGTGGAAGGGAAGAAATCAGCTCCTTCAGGTTGCCCTTGGACCTCCAAGAGGTGCCATAACACTCAAATGTGTGTGTACAAATGCACACATATAACTAACTAACTAAATAAACAAACGTAAATTTAAAACTTTAAGGCTATCCCAGGCTACCTAAGGAGAACTTGCCTTAAAAAAAAAAAAAATCCCAGGATTTGGGAGACAAAGGCAAATGGATCTTTGTGAGTTCAAAGCCAGCCTGGTTTACAAAGTGAGTTCCAGAACAGCCAGGGCCTGTCAAAAAGAAAAAAAGAAAAAAAAAAAAAAAAAAAAAAAAACAAGTTAAGGGTCTGAGATGATAGGTCAGTAGCTTAGGTTCTTGTCTTAAAAGCACAAAGATTTGAGTTTGATCCCTACAATCCAGGTATAAAAGCCAGATCTGGAGTCTGGAGAGATGGCTCAGCACTTAAAAACACATGCTGCTCTTTTTGTTTTGTTTTCTGAGACAGGGTTTCTCTGTGTAACAACTCTGGTTATCCTGGACTCACTTTGTAGACCAGGCTGGCCTCAAACTCACAAAGATCCCCCTGCCTCTGCCTCCCCAGTGCTGGGGTCAAAGGTGTGTGCCACCGTCCCTGGCTACATACCTCCCTTACAGAGGACCCAAGTTCGGATCTCAGCGCCCACTCTGGGCATCTTACAACTTCAGCTCCAGGAAATCCAACATCTAGCCTCTATGGGCAGCTGCCTTCACATGTACATACCCACCCACAAACACACACATATTCTGTGTATTTGTTTTGTTGTTCTTGTTGTTTTAAGCTGTTGCAGCTGCCTGTGCCTTTAAACCAGTACTAGCAGGTAGAACCAGGAAGATACATGGGGGCCTGGCTGGCCTGCCAGTCTAAATATATCAGATTCAAGAGTTTGAGACCTTGTCTCCAAAAAAAGAGAAAGAGAAAGAGAGAAAGAAAGAATGAGGGCTTTCCCCATAAGCCTGAGGACCTGAGCTCTAATTCCCAGAACCCATGTCAAAACCAGGTACCAGACAGGCATTTGTGGCACACATCTTTAATCCCAGTACCCGAGAGACAGAGGCAGATGGATCTCTGTGAGTTCAGGGCCAGCCTGGTCGACATAGGTAGTTCCCGATGGCTACACAGTGAAAACAAAATCAACCAGCCGAAGAAATTACGAGTGTCCATATCACAGTCCTCCTTTGGAGAGAGGGGAGACAGACGTCAGAATCCTTGAAAGCATCAGGCAGTGCCGGCGCACGCCTTTGATCCCAGCACCGGCGAGGCAGAGACAGGCAGGGATCTCTGTGAGTTCGCCCCCTGTAGCGCTTGTTTTTAATCTTTTTTTTTTTGGGGGGGGGGAAGTTCCTTAAAGCCTCTCCCTTCCAACCTCCCAACCCCAGGCAGGAGCGCCAGCAGTCTCCTGCCTTGAAAGGTCTCTCTCCCTCTGCCAAGCCCGCTCCGGTGGTCTCTCCAGACTGCCCCAGCCACGCCGGGCCCTCAGAGCCCTAGACCACGCCCCTCGGTGCTGCTCCAGGCAGGCCGTCACCAGCTGGCAAAGACCACGCCCCACAGGAGGCAACCATCGCCTGTGGACAAACTAAAACCCCACACGGGCTTAAGACAAAAACATATTTACATAACATAACTGAGTTTTTAAAGAAACCAAAACTTCCACTACAGCCTGCACCAAAAAAGAGAGAAAACTCCAGAGGCTCGAGTTCCGGCCAACCAATGAATAGCTGTGACTCTACAGGAGAAGAACAATAAAGGCGGCTCTCAGAGGAGACAGTAAGGTGTCTCCTGACTGCCACATGAGCAGTGTGCTCACATTCTCACGCATGCACGGGTGTGGGACACACATGTGCGCACTCACATTAACTAGGTGGAAAAAAACAGCAACATTGACCTCTGGCCTCTGCACACATACATGCCTGGATGCACACACATGTAAACATAGTCATGAATACATGCATGTTACACACACACAAACACACACAAGAAAATTAAGACAGTATGGGGGCTAGAGAGATGGCTCAGCAGTTAAGGGCACTTGACAGTTCTTTCAGAGGACCCAGGTTCAAATCCCAGCACCCACAGGGCAGCTCACGACTGTCTATAACTCCAAGATCTGACGCCCTCACACAGACATACATGCAGGCAAAACACTAACAAACATAAAGTAAAGGTGAATAATATTTGTTTGTTTGGGTTTTGGATTTTTTTGGTTTTGTTTTTGTTTTTTTGA